GGGTGATTAAGACGAGACGTGCCGTGGCCCGTGGTGCATGCATGGGCCAGACTCCAGAGTCATGGCCGCACTCTCTGCTATTATCTCTCAGGTGGAGTTAATAATTCAAATTTCAAAGAGCGTGGCCCATCGGGTCCCCAGAATTACACTTGTTCACTCTCCGTGGCCGGACTGGGCTCAACCCAGGGTTCCAGGCAATAATTAAATCCATGGTGCCTGACCCAGCCACTATGAGACTAAGAGGCAAATGACTAGATAAAGCATTTCATGTGATGCTTTGTGTTTGTGTTTTCATTGCAATTCACAAGTGACTATTAGGTCTAGGTCTGTAGAAGTTCATAAGGTTATTGAGTTTGAAGTGTGAACAAACACAAACCCACTTATAATAGAAGTGACGAAAAAAGTTTAAATTGTTAAGTCTTTGAATCGATTTTTATTCTCTAACATGACTAAATGAGAATATTCAGAGGGATGCTGAGTGACCATCTAAACCATTGGGTGGAATCAGTCTATGTCTCTGTGCCTCATATCAAGCATTTCTTGAATTTTAACTCAAAAAAATAAATAAATAAATCGCTTCATCATTTTCCGACATGCCACATGATAGGACATGTTTTAGGGACGCTTAATTTGGTTGATATTTCCACATCAATGAACATTGAAAAAACGTCATTTTTATCCATTCATTGCTGAAATAGATGTGACTAATAAATTAAATGCAACGACAGATAAATACCACGGTGCCAAACACGCTCTTAGAGACCATTAATGCCAAGCATCTAAGACATCTTTTTTGGACCATATTTGAACCCTAGGATGATATGAAGTTGCATTGAACCTCAACAAAGGAACATATATAAGAAAAGGTTGGTAAGAGTCATATTCCAGAATCCAGATAATAACATTATTGACCCAATCAACGATAGCCCACATTCAATCAGCAAAATATTTTTCTTGATCCAACGGCAATGATTACCCAATTCTGACCAGAATCATTCTGGCCCCTATTATCTGGGTCCTGTCAGTTCTGATGGGCTGGCTCCAGCCCAACTTTTTGGACTCGACAATAATTGACTCGGTGCTGGGTCTAACCTGACCCATTGGATAAGGACCAAAACTGATTAGTTACAAAAGAACTAAATTCAAATATTTTATATGTAAATATGACACTGTATCTATAAGATTTTTTATATTATTTTAAATGAGATTGTGATGATTTTGTTAAAAGTACCAAGCTAATAATAGGTTAGGTCTTAATCAAGTAAAACCCAATAAACCCAACTGAAAGGGGTTGGTTCTGGACCTGATACCGCTAGTTGCTATAGGTTCTGGACCAGTACAAGAACTAAAACATTTTCTTGTGGGCTCAGTATCTACAACATTGCCTGCCAGCGAGTTCCAACCCATAGATATAGATAGGTCTTAACAAACAAATAGCTGAATCCAGAAAACAAAGACAAACCCCATGATGGGTGTCAATGTCAATCCAACCGCAGAAAGCCATACCTCACACATGATGATGGTGATGATGGAATGCAGCCTACATAAATGGTATAATGGTATGGGGACTATTTCATCCACCATACAAAAAGGTCCAACTCATAATTGACTGATTTAACGAAACGATGATGATGATAATGATGATAATGAATATATATATCCCCTATGTGCAGATGGATAGACGCTCTCAAATGTATACACATTTTTTGCTTTTAGGAAATCCTATGCATGGTATTAAAACATGTTTTCTAATACCAGTACTACAAAAGCACTATAGGACTCTAGATTTTGCATAAATGGGATATAATAATATTTAGATTTTAGTCTTGGTATGCAGCATTTACATCCAACAGTGATTTTGTAGCATGTAAACTATGTATTCAAAAATGTGAGCAGTAGTGGTGGTAGGAGCAGGAGAAACATTCAATAACCATATTGTTACTAGTTGAATGGCCCCACTGCTAACGGCTCTAAATCCACCTTTGAGAAGAATGCAATGTTGCTGGATAAGGCGAGTAATCAATACCAAAAAAATACATAAATTATTTTGCAAGTAATACAGTTTTTTTGGTATTTTTGACCTCAGGAAATAATTTAATCCTATAATTGGATAGTGAAAATGTTAATATGTTTTACAACAGTAAAATTAATAGGTAAAATCTATGATGCATTAATAGAACTACGAAGTAAAAAACTTGAACCAATGAAAAAGTAATACATCACAGTTGAACATAAAATCTGATGAAATATGAACCAATGAAAAATAAATAGACCATTTTACGTCTTTAACATGAATAGTTGAAATTTTGATTTAGTATGCAGTAAGCATTAAAAATGCACCACACTTTTTTTCCATGAGACTACACAACAAGGGATAGCCCATAATCACCCCAAACCCTGGTACAGTCAGAATTCCATTCCATCGATTTCGGTTTTTGATCGGTTCGGTTCTTCGGTTTTTTATATTTATAATATATATTATACAAATATATGTATACTATTATATTATAAATAATAAATGATATATAATATATTATAAATATTTGAAATATATATAATGTATTTATAAATGGATCATTATAAATATAATATAAGTATATATTTTTATATATAATGAATATATATTTATATATAATACATAGAAAATATGTGACATATATTAAAAATATATATACCGGCCAATTCGGTTAACCATCGATTTTTTTGTAGGTTAACGATCCGGTCCTTCGGTTTTTCAAAAATCCCGAACTGAAACCAAACCGATCGGTTTGGTTAACCGCATTTTGCGGTTTTGTTTTCTCAATTCAGTTTGGTTTTTCGGTTTTTCATGGACACCCCCTATTGCCACCTAGCCAGTTGGCACATTGCAAAAACAATATCATTCTTTTAAACATTACAGAATTCCAGTTTTGTCCACAGATAATAAACTAATAATATTGGAAGGCCTGTTGACCAAAATAATCCCCAAAAGCTATATTTTACATATTCAAGTGGAAATCATTGTTGACTTGGCCCACTGAACAACAAAAAGGCAATTTTGTTAAGCAGAATAAAGGGTAAGGCCGATTAAGAGAAATTGTACCTTTTCTTCCTAAAAGGAGATACGAGGATGTATTTGTAATTTTATTCTCTTCGTCTATGAATTCTTTTACCGATATTGAGAACGATAATGGAGAAACTAAGAAATTCAACTTCAGAGAGATCATGGCTTACTATATATAATGAGAACACATGCCTCGGCTTCACGTGTAGATCACCATGAGAAAAATCCGATCCATTTATTTCCCTCTCCCTGCTTTCAAATCATCTCTCTCTCTCTTATAGATAACAAATGAAGAAAACAATAAAGAGAAAGGATGCAAGATGGACTGGTATCAATTAGCAAAACCCAGTCATAAACTTAAAATCAATCCTCGTTTCATACTCCATTGAACCAATTAAACGACCAAAGTGAGTTTACTTTTTTTAGATTCCACCCAACAAAATATGACAATTGAACACCACATGTACTAATGCGTGTTATGTAATACCAAACAAAAAGCATGTACGTGCATTTACATCGATTTGAAACTGAACAAAATAATTGTCGGGACTCGGGGCGGTCCCGGAGTAAACTTCGATTCGATGGCTTAGTTGTTTGACACCAACTGTTCGACCTTGATCTACCGTCTACCCCACCCAAAACATGAAAGCGTGTGGTCCTCCCTGCTTTTCTGATTGACTGATTCTACTTTTCTAGACATCTGGCCTCATAAGAGATTTGTTGGTTATTTGGTTCTAATTTTCAAACCACCATGTGGCCCCTTAGTGGGAGGAGGGGACCAATTAAATTAAACGATAACTTGCATCACCCCATTTCATCTGCAGGCATGCTCATGCTTATGTTCGCACGTCGTCCTTGGCGATGCGACTGAGAGCTGAGGCTCCTTGTAGCTAGTCCTGACTTTGTGCAGCAAACAGATAATGCAGGTCAACAGATGCTGCTGAAGTACAACCATTCTAGTAGGTGTGTTTGGTTTCTATATAAACGTATATTCATGTAATTGATGGACCCATTTAGCGTCCAAGTCCAAATTTCAGGGTTCAGAACTTCTGGCCTTCTGAAGCAGGTTGGCGTTGGACAGCAGCTCTTTACCGCCCATTCTGTCGTCAATTATTTCCCCTCATTAACAATTTTAACTTTGGAATCCGAACAAACCACCAATTGAAATAAATCATCGTCACAAGTCCATTTTAGCCGGTTTAGAACTTTAGATGCATTCGTCCAGGGAGAACTGGAGAAAAAATTGAGTTGAAAGTTCATGTGAATCACCCGAACGTCCATAATTAAAGATTTAAAGGCTTTGTAAGTTGCTTACGTATTTTACCCACGAACGGTTCAGTCCGATATGCTATGAACACCTTGTATCCACTTTCCACAACAATCAGATAACAGAAAATGAATCAAAGTTCTACTGGAGTTGGAAACTTGGATTTGCGCTTGCTGTTACCCCATAAAAAAGATAGTCAGGGACAATTGGAAGTTGGAACCCAGAACGAAATCGAAGAATATGTATTATCTGCTCCTGCAGTATTCATTTCTTCCAGTAAAATGAACAAATGTCGTTGATTTCACCTACACAATAATTAATAGCCAGGGTTACCAAAAAAAATAAATAAAATACAATACTATTTAACGTTTTCTCAAGGACACCAAAATTATTGCTGCAAAATGTGTTGTCTGCTTGTCATGCCCTGTTCAATTCTCAGACAAATGAGCAAAAGAAGCAGGGTTCTGATCTCAGTAACAATACTATTATCTCAAGGGCATCAATATTATTGCTGCAAAATGTGTTCTCTGCTTGTCTGCCCTGTTCAATTCTCAGACAAATGAGCAAAAGAAGCTGGGTTCTGATCTCAGTAACAATACTATTATCTCAAGGACATCAATATTATTGCTGCAAAATGTGTTCTCTGCTTGTCATGCCCTGTTCGATTCTCAGACAAATGAGCAAATCTGATGTCATCAATGTCCTATTAAGGACAAAAATCATTGCCAATAATCAACCACCCGTCAATTCCAATATCCAAACCAAGCAAACCAAATGGGAGGAGAAAAGTTACAGAAAGAAAAATGGAACAATAGACTTGATGGAAAAAGAATGTAGAAGGAAATTGAGAAATGTCCTACTTTCAGGAAACTCATTAATAAAACATATCACTCAAAAAAAAATTAATCAACAAATATAAGAATGGGTAGAAGCTACCATCCCTTCAGGAAAAATGAAAACTAGTGGCAGATTTTTCCTTAAAAGAAAGTTATACTTGCTAACAACATACAAAGGACAGATAGGGCCTGACTCAACAGCTAAGAACCTCACTTTCATCTGTTAATATGTTACAGTCATCTTTGGCACCACCATTAAGCTTGAGTTCCTCTTTTCCTATTCATCCATGCCACCTCTCTTTAGGTGCATCAATCCAAACCATATAATGCCGATGACGAAAGAATGCTACTTTCAAAAATGGTACATGCAAGGCCACATAGAAAGGAAGCATTGAGTAGCTTCAGCTGAGTAGTGGTCCCCGATGATTAAAATTTTCTTCCATTAGCAATGTCATATTATGCATCTGTGACTCGTCTATAGAAAAGAACATAAGCAGCTGATGTCTTTATCTTGTCCTCACTGACAGGAAAAACATGGCTGTCATCAAAGTCATACCACTGATGGCCCCCATGCTACACAGGAAAAATGAAGTCAGTAATCCCAGATTGAGAATATATTTGGATAAATGTGTACTGTAGGCATGCAGTATATCAATAAAATAATGTTATGGCTGAGAAGATTTGAGATCATGCTTATTAAAGAGCATTCACTTTTATAGTTGTATTACTACACCCGCATGACATAGGAATGCTTATCAGTCGAGACCATCCTCAACATCCTAGAAAATATTTACAAACCTATTTGTGACATCTTGAACTTCAAACTGACTTATACAGTTATACTATACAGATTCTCATTACATTTTTTTATTTCTCTCATTACTTCTCTATTTTGATAGTTGTTTCCATACTTCAATCTGCTAAGAATTATGACTAGCAGAACGTAACATCAACACATGTTTCCAATATAACTAAATAGAGAAACATAGAACATGCTGCTACTTTGTTGATTTAGGTGGTGTTTCTACAAGGCTACCATGGTGTGGCATTTGTGTTTTGACTCCATACAGATGCCACATGCAATTTGACTTTAACAAACAAAAAATGTATGTGATTGGGCAGATTTAAGTTGAAATGGAAACACAAAACTTTGCATTGGGTTATGTGCATGGGCATATTGGGGAAATGTCAAAAGGACAATTTTTGAATCTGAGGGGCATTCCCACTTCATTTGTCCTATGTGGTGCCTAATAGTGTCTATGTGTTTAACACTACAACAAAACATTATACATTTATGTTTTGTGCTAAAACAACTTAATTTCATGTTTTTGCTTGGCCATTCTCACCCAACACACCATGGCTATACACTAACAGTGGTGGCAAACACCATCTTAGTTCGGAGCTTCAATTTGGAACTGATCCCTATACAGTTTTTTTTTTGATGAATAAAGAAAAAGTTATTACTTCAAAAGATAATAGAGAACTTTGAACTTTGGGAGGAGTTGTATGCAAATCAGGACTTATGGGATGGCCCCTGGTGCTTGGGAGGGGATAATAATGTTAGACGATTCACCAAAAAAACTAGTAGTCCCCAACAGACAATAACAACTAGTATGAGGCAATTCAATGGCTTTATTAAGATTGTGAACTGATCCCTTTACAGTTCTGCAATTGGTCTATGGTGTCATTAAATAACTTACAAATGACTAGAACACCTTTCATGGATGGCCTATGTAGGATCTCTGCCATCAATTTTGAACTAAACAAGGGAACCCAACACCTCCTTAGTAGATTCCCCAAGTCAATTGGACTCTCTGTATAAAGATTAACAAAAAATAGAGCATCAACAAACAATACAAGTAGAAATACCACTTACATGGACAAATGCAGTATAGTGACCACCTCCCATGCTCCCGTAGTGATTACTGACTGCATAAAGCATGTATCGGTTGGACAACTTGATATTTTTGTAGGCAATGTAGCTTGACAAGTCAAGATCGCAAATAGGGAAGTCCACAAATGTCTCTAGTTTGTTCTTCAAAAACCGGCTGTATGAGAACCTTTTTAGATGAATAACAAGAATCTCCGGCAGTCTCCAGAGATCTAATTTCTTGCTTGCTTGCCGATGCTTCTTGCAGCTCGGGCAATACCTAAATTTTAAAAATGACAGTATCACCAAATATTGTAACAAAAAAGATACAAGGCCAGGACCATAATTTCCAAAATAGGGGACAGAAGAAAAACTAAAGATAAAAGCTCCATATAAACAAGGAAATAGAATTCTCATATTAACTAGCAAATTGTACAAAACAGCAATAATACCTGCTATGTTTTATAGTGAGGTGAAAACAAATTTATCAATGATGAGATAAAGTTTATCAGACAAAATGATTATAAAAAAGGAGAAAGGGATAAGGAGGAAGTGAGGTAAAAAAGATAGAAGGGGATCACAAAGACAAGATGATCATGACGCAGTAGGAATCGCCAATCAGTAATCAATACATATGTACATAAAATGATTGTAACCCTAGGGGACAATGAGATAGATGAAGTGGCAAATTAGAGAATACAAACAGAATGAGAACACCCAGGAACCTAGAAATAGCCTTAATAGGTGATAACATGAAATGAAGGTGGTTCGGATGATTAGCATATGTCAAAGACAGGCCAGTAATGACACCAAGCTAGCCTGTGTGTTTTAAATGCATAATTTGAGGATTTGATATTAGATTTTCTTATCCAATAATTGTTCACTTCTTGCAAATAGGAAACAGAAATAAAACTATATTATTTGGGGGAAGTTTAAGGAAAGCCATGGAATTTATCAATGTTATGCCACACAACCATAGTTATCAAGGCATCTAGACAATTCTGTGCAACACTTGGGTGCCTAGCCACCAGGCAAAATTAATTATACAGAACAAAAAATAAATAAATTTTGGTTAGTTTCCTGGTTGTATATACCGAGCAGCATGTATATTAATTAAAAAAATGGCAACTTTCTTTATTAAGATCATTAAGTTTCCTTGCAAAACATGGCTAATCAGCATATCTAAAAGACAATAGTATTTTCAATAATTTGATTCAATATTCAAAAATATTACTAATATAATAAGTATTTAGTCAAGCAATCTCATATCAAATTAGCAACTAAAGTGGATTAGAGGTTTATATGATAAAAATTTAAGATAGAAAGTAAAAGAGAAAAAGAAGAAAGCTGAAGCCAAGTTGTATTTAATGTAAGAGAGAGAGAAAGAGTACAAAAAACAAAAGAAAAAGAAACCTCTATATCCTTCTCTTCTCAAAACCTTTGGACATTTTAAAATTCAATGGTAAAACTTTAAAGCAAGGTATATAATATATATAGTATTTAATAGAATGTATTGACACAAATATTAATGAGATGCAACCATAGTCCTGATATTATAAAAGGTCGCCCACCTTGTGCTTTTTGTTACCTAGACGGGCATCTTATCGCCTAGACAGGCACCTAGTTACTATAATTCAAAGTGTTCAGGTTTGAGCAGTCAACAAACATGTCAAAAAATCCAGTGTATAGGAATGTAAATGTTGAGAACTTGAGATGGACAAGTGGGAAAACTATAAAATATAGAATCAGGAATAAACTTGTTCAAACAAACTAGGAGCAGCTCCAATGGGTAATAAAAGGAAGCAGAGTAAGATGATCTGGCTACCTGCAAAGAAGACCATCTACAAAACCAGTGAGAAGAAGTGATTCGATACAAGGGTCTAGAAGTTCTGAAGGCAGACCCAAAAGGGCATGAGCTGTAGTAGTAAAAAATGATTTAAGGGCCCATATTTCCCCTTCTCAGTTTTTTATGCCCTGCTTGGATTTCTCAATCAGAGCCAGAGGGATAGAACAAAACCCCTGCTTCTGATCGACAAATCGAAGGTTATTTTGAAGGGATTTTGTTCTCAATTTGTTATTTTTAGTCAGAAAATGTATAACGCTCCACCTTTGATCGACAGTGAGAACATATTCTTTATTTTTACTTATTTATTTTGCATTTCTTTCCTATTTTCATTTATGTATTTTTAACTATTTTATAATTTTCAATATTATTATCTATATTTATGACATCATGGGTCACACCGTTCAACCTGGATAGTTGAACCGCTGACCTGGAAACCAGAGGCCAAAGCAGTTCCATTTCCGGGTCAGTTTTTAAAACATTGATAGAACATGGCTTTTTGAAGGACGATATTTTATGTCTTATTCCATAGTAACCAATTAAGATTCTAATATAGCTTACCTGTAACATTGAAACCTTATTAAAACTAAAACCAGTTTCCTTTTTACCTGTGGTAGATGAAAATGATTAATATGGAAGAAAATAGATAATTTTTCTGTTCACTGTTATTTATAAAAAATAGAAAATGTAAATATCCATATTGACATGATAAAAAGGTTTTACCATGAGTCCATGACTATTCAGAATTTCAAGTCCTAAAAGTAACTCTAAAAGAAATTAATCAATTTAAGAAAACATATTTGCTTAACTTCAGATGCTATACATTGCAGTTTAAATGACATGGTTTTAAACCATCTCATTAAAGTACTACATCAATCCAAGTGTATTTGCACCGAGCCTTATCAAAAAGAGAAAAAGGAGATGACTCACCCCTAACCATTCTCAAGCATTTAACTAGTATACCTAGCAGCATTCTTCTTCTAGCCTTGAATTTCAGTGGTCCAATACCACTTGAATCATTCTAAATAGAAGATTGAAAGGCCAACAGGTCATGCACCCTAGTTATAAGTAACTTGTTACAAAAGTATGTTCATTTTGAGCCAAGATGAAAATGCAACAAACGGAGATTTGTTAAGAAAGACAGTGCAGCTTCCTCCAATGTAACCTAGGCCAATTAAGGGTTTCCCCTCACCATACAACGAGGATCGGTTACCAAATAGGGGTAGTTCAGTCATAAAAACAACCAGAAATATTAATAGCACTTTTTTTCATATTGATTATTACTTGTATTGAATAATAAATACATTATCAAAACAAACACCACCATACAACTTTGCCATCACAATAAAATCGGGGTAAATTAATAAATAGGGGTATTTAGGTCATAAAAGTCCCGTTTACATCATTTAAAGGAGTATAGACTATAGAGTATAAAAGAAACATTATTCCATGCATTTATTTATTTGAATATGTCATAAAATGGAACTGCACATAATCACAGATGCACTACATTACTGGAAAGGGTATAGACTTGGAGCAAGGGGCAAAATCTATTGGAGGTCTATAGTTCATGCAGTTATGTGGAGTGTATTCTCAGAAAGGAGTACAAAGGTATTCTGCAGCATCACAAGAAGAAACCTACCCAGGATCCTTCTTTCTCCTGAAGGCAACCTAGAAGGACTGCAATCCCCCCACCCATGGACAGAGAAATTAGACTTCAATTTATGGTTGTTTGAAGGGGAAACCTAGACCAGCCAGAATTGGAGGCATCCTTTCCAAGGCGGACAGGGTCTTTTTCGGAATTTTTAGTGGCCCCATTAGCAATGTGGATTACATAGAAGCAGAAGCGGGATCTCATTTAATGGGGTATTCAACGACTCTGGATCTCCTGCCCACATCTACCCACGACACACTACCCCCCATGAATTGGGAACATCTCCCCCGGCATAATACTATGCACAAGGATGAGATGTTCTCCATGTGTGGCTGCGATGTGGGTAAACGTGGGCAAAGTTCGTGTGGGCAGGAGATCCGGATTCGTATTCAATTTGCCAAGCAATCTCGTTTTTTGCCATTCACCATTGAAGGGAACAGAAAATGCCAACCAATGGTGCCAAACAGTGGACCATGATTGTCTTGCCTACTTGTTAAATGACATTCACAGAGTTTACAAGAGCTTTTTTTGGAGTAGCAAAATAAAAGAAGGATAACGATAAAAGTGATGATAAAAGTAGCCTTGATAATGAATTGGAGGATGTGGAGGAGTAATTACTAAAGTAGGGTAGAGGGTTGGTTGGGAGAGTTTTTTTCTTCGGTTATGTAGGGGTGTAAGGGGTTCCAGGTTGGTTTTTGGTTGATGATTTTAAGTGTTGCCGATTGGGCTGACTTTTCTTCCAGTTTCTTTATGTAAGGTTTGGGATGTTGCTGGTGGTTATTTTGGGTTTTTCTCTTGGGTTATGTCTATCACCTTGCCTCTTGTATTCTCTTTTTTCTTTTAATGAAATGTGTATTTTACTATCAAAAAAATAAATAAAAACATTACTACATAACATTAATTTGCAAAAGTTACCACCATATTAATTTCCAAACTTCTAAAATTGTCTTACTTCACAATTTATCCTATTCTAGTATAGCCTAGCAGGAGAGTAAATAGACAAAATTTCTATTAGGATCCTCCTAACTCATTGTAACATTGCATTGTATTTTATGGTATTCTAGGCCCTGTTTGGATAGACTTTTATAAAGAACTTTGGTACTTTTGAAAGTATAAAAGTATGAAAAACATAGCATAGCGTTTGTATTATGCACTTTATACTTTTTGCTTTCTTACTTTTAAAAGTATGAAAAACCCCAAAAGCATGAAGTTAGTCAGCTTTTTATATTTCGTGCTTTTGGCGAAATTGTGCTTTCATTTTCATGCGAACAGGTGGTCACATGTGACCACCCTTCTATAATACTCTCAACCCTACATCTACTCGCCGCTACTAGAGTTGGACTGCCGTCACCAAACCATCACCAGAAGTAAAAATGAACATGCTTTTGCCAAACAGAAAACTGTAATTCTGTTTTGGAAAGCACACTTTTCAAAATTTTTTACCCAAATGGTTTTCAAAGCAAAAATACCAAAGTAAAAGTATTTTATGTACTTAATACTTTGATATTCTTAAAAATAGAAAAATAGAAGTCTATCCAAACAACGCCCTAGTGTTTTCTGGTTGTCCGTCCTGAAACTGTAATATTGTCCTCCTACCCACCTCCTTGAAATGGGCAAAGGTTGTACTTCTTTCTCTTCATACAAATTAATAAACTCACTGATCTTGTCAGTGATAAAAAGAAGTCTAATTGCAGATATATTGTTTCTTTTTTTAATTTTAACCAAATAGTATATAATATCATACATAACCAAACAAAGAAAATGTGAAATAAATTAATAACACCAAAAAATTGTGTTTTCCAAATGGAGTTCTTAGTTGAATCAACAAATACATTGGTTTTTATTTAGAAAAAAATAAACCACGATTTTAACGGTGTTCTCAATATCTCATATTATTTCCAGTTTTTGTTTTACTGTAAAATTATTTCCAGTTGTTTTGACAAAACAGATAAAATTTCCCCAGTATTTCACTACAATTTAGTGTCTTACACATGACAAAATGAAAAATACACCAATATGAAGGGGAGAAAACTCATACAATACGAGAAGAGATGCAACTTGGGTTGGAAATTTGTTAAATTTTCAATGGGACCAAATCCCAACCCAAGCCCAATGTAGTTAAAATTCTTCAAGTAGGGAAACCTGACTTGCAGCCATAAATGATAGCATGTTGTCCCAAAAGAATGGAATTTATTGGTCAAAAAGAGAACAGAATTGCAAAGCAGAATTAATAACAAGGGCAGGACAACAAAAATACAACGTTGTTGCATCCTCTAATTTAGTAAATAACTAGGTGAGAGATCTGTGGTTGAGCCATCGAAGAATCAATAACTTTATGTTTGATGAGAAACAGCCAATATTAAATTTATTAAAGACAGGTCTGCTTACTAAAAGAAAACCAATACAAAAGACATTAAGGACAGATCTAAGCTTGTAATCTTTAATCTAATAAAAAGCCTTTGAATTCCACGAAAGGACCAAAAACATGAATCTTCAGAGTAACAAAACAAATTAAAAAAATACTACTAAATTGGCAAAATTTTTGTTAGTTTCCTTGAACTTTACAACCAATTGTCATGCAACTGAGAAGATGAATTTTAGTAAAGACTACCCGGTGGTACATTAACATTACCATTAAATTTTAGTAAAGACTATTAGAGAAGTACACAAACTCACCACATGTCTTCTGGTCCGAGAGGTTCCTCCTTTAGGAAGGCTTCAAGGCATGCATATAAAGAAACAGACTCCTGAGGCCTCTTCACAAAAAAGCCAGACTTGAAAATCTCAGGTAATGAACTGAGAAGATGAATATCATATTCTTTTATCATTTGAGCGCTCCAAGAAACAAGCACACTCAACCGCCCGGAAGATTCTGTTACTAATATTGGCTCATCCATTTCAACCATTGAATCTTTTAGTGTGCCTTTCTCGTCTGTCAGGTGGAATTGAAACTCAGAATCAGAGTGTGATCTATTTCTTGATTCATCAGTTGAACTTCCACCATCACTCAAAACAGGAGTGCCAGTGTCAAACTCCATCTTGGTAACTTCAGCATTACTATCCTTCCCACTATTATCATCAAAATCCAAGTCATCTTCAGTGGATATTAAGAATGGATTAAGTAGTTTCATGTACAGATTACGGATATCAGATCCATTAACAACATTAGACAGGCTTGCTATAAGAGGGGTTCCAAATGCCTTTGGACATGATGTCATCTTCCCATGGATGTAAAGCCTGAGAACGTAAGTTTTCATCAGAGTTACAAATAAAGAGATAAAGCAATAAGAAAATCACCCAGTAAAGTAGTAATCTTAGTAGCATTGTAAGCACATGTTTCAAACATTAATTCTCAATAGTCAGCACAAGTACTAGCTTTCAAGCCTCAAGTTTCCTACATATGTTTCTAAAATAAGCTAGCATGTTTGTTGAAATAGAAATCCAATGCTTGGATTTGGAAACAAACAGCAATTCAATACTATTGAAAGAACCTCCTCAACTTACTGCCTGTACATCTTTGAATAGAAAAGACAAGCTGCTATAGCCCATGCATTTTTGTTCTCATGGTGTACAGAAATTCTCTAAGCTCCAAGTATTAGCTATGACACATGGAGTGTTAGAAGCACTGTGGCTGAGATCATTACTTAAGGAGCTAGATATGCTTGTACATGGGCTATCGTTATTGCAACAATCAAATGGCAATCAACATTGCTCATAACCCTGTACAGCATGACAAAACACATTGACACTGTTGAAAGCCACTTTATGAGCGAGCGAGCGAGCGATGCGAGAGAGAGAGAGAGAGAGAGAGAGAGAGAGAGAGTCATGACAGGGTAAGTATGTATCTTTGGGAGTTCGGTTTATGGAGGGCTTTAAGAGAAAAGGAAATGGGTGATATGACCTCCCTACTTGATATCCTTCAACAAGTAAATTTGTGTCCTTCAAGGATGGATGGGAGAGTGTGGGAACCTAACGTTAATGGGCTCTTTTCTTGCTCCACTTTTTTCCAAACCTTTTACTAATCCAAAGAAGCAAACCCATTTCCAGTAAAATAAGTTTGGGGTAATACTATTCCACCTAAGGTTAAGGTCTTTTGTTGGGAAGCTTCCAATGAAAACATTAAAACCTTGGAGAGCGGAAAAACCGGTGTCTCTCACTTCATGTATGCATCCTTTGTTTGAGGAGTGGGGAAACCACCAGCCACCTTCTGCTGCACTGTACCTTTGCAATCCAGGTGTGGGAACATTTCTTATCCTTGGCTGGGTATGACTAGGTGGCCCCAAGAGAGAATGAAAAATGTGTTTAGTGCAAACTGGATGAGATGCACAAGAGACAAAAGGAATTGGAATGAAAGAAATGTCAAATTTTTTTAGGAGAAAAAAAGAGAGGTGGGGGAGCTGATTGAGTTCACTATGATAAGAGTAGCTCGTTGGGCCTTGGTGTGAAAGGTGGTCAGTTGGCATGCACCAGCATTAGACTTTAAGAGGCTAGAAAATTGTTGCTAATTTTCAAGTGAGGAATCTGAAAAGGTGGTCAGTTGGCATGCACCAGCATTAGACAAATTTAAACTCAACTTTGATGGTCGCAGCCTCTGGAATAGGGGTGTAAACGGATCGAATTCAAATCAGATCAGGCAATATCCAAATTCAAATCTGATTAGACAATCCGAATTCGATTTGATATCCGACGGATGTTGAAAATTAATATTCGAATTCGAATCCGATTAAATATTTGAATATTCAATACGATTCGATTCGATTCGATTCGATTCGATTCAAATTCGATTAATTAATTAATTATTTTAGATAATTAATAAATACATAAAATAAATATTTTATTGATATAAAGTATATAAATTATAAATTATTTATATAACTTAACTATTATATATAAATTATATAAAATATGTTATATATTATATATAAGAACTAAATAATCGGTCGAAATCGGATATTTATCGAATCAAATCAGATCATATCCGAATTTGATTCAATTATATCGAATATCGAATTCAAAATCGGATTTTTGAATACCGTTTACACCCCTACTCTGGAATCCACAAGATTCTAGTATTGGGAGTTTAGTCAAGGACCACAATGGACACATACTACTTAGCTATCTGGCTAGGGGTGTCAATGGTTTTCAAAAATCCGATTTCGAATTCGAGATTCGACATAATCGAATCAAATTCGGATAATTCAAATATCATAATCGGTTGAATTCAGATATCCTATTCATACTGATTAGCTAATCGGGTTCAGGAATGGCCTGATTTGCTTCGCAAAAATATCTGAATTTGACCGCTTATTTAATTCTTATATATAATATAAAATATTTAAATAGTTTATATAATTTATATATATAACAATTAAATATATAAATAATAAAATAATTAATTGGCCGAATTCGAACCGAATCGAATATTCAAATATTAATTTTCAATATCCATCAGATATTGAATCAGATTCGAATTCGGATATTGCCTTATTTGATTCGAATTCGATCTGTTTACACCCCTAATTCAGGCCCCATTCATTGGTGTTGGAAACTCTCCAAGGAGAAAATGAAGGAAATGAAGGAAATGAAAAATGTGGAGGTTGAAGGAGAAAATCAAGCTATAATCTGTTGGATGAAACAATAAGATATGATCCCCTGGAAAGTCAGGCCAATGGTGAGACAGACACAACATTTGGGCTCTTTATTGAATAGCATATTCAACTGGGTGCCTAGAAGTGCTAATCGACTTACAAATACTCTAGCTAGGGCAGGGATGGCAAGGAACCAGCTTGAATGGGAATGTCCAGGGCCAAATTGTAATTTGTAGTTTCCTTTACTGCCATAATCAGAGTTCCTTGTGTACAGGAGCTTTATCTTGTATCACCTTTGGGTCTGTTGTAACTGTTTTTGCTTGCTGCTTTCTTCTGGAGCAATGTGGTAGTTTTCTTTAATGAAACTGTTGCTTATAAAAAAAATAATGACAGGGGAAGTGTGTCTTCCTTTTATTAAGACTGATCAACAGTTGGCCAATGTATTTACCAAAGGAGTTCAGAAGTCTACATTGCAGTACAGTCTTGGCAAGCTAGGCATGATTAACATCTATGCTTCACTTGAGGAAGTGTTGGGAGATCATCAAATTCTTTATTGCTACAGTTCATTGACTTTATTTTTCTGTTTTATTATTTTACTATTTGTTCTACTATTCTAATATACAACCAGGGGTATTCCAGTCATTTACTGCAATGTACAATCTCATATAAGTGATATAGAGGTTGCCACCTCATACTTTTTCTCTCTTCCTCCTCCTTTTCTTCTTCTCTCCTCTTCCAACTCATTCCAAATCAAAAACAAATTGCATTAAGTAATTAAATAAGTATATGCATAGGGAAAGCAATACGAGAGAACAGGTACATATAGGGAAATCAAACTAACAAGAAAAACCCTGATAATTTAATTTTAATCATAAAAAAATCAGAAAAATTCTTACTCATCCACCCGCTGATGCATGAAAACCGCCAAAGGGAGTTTATCATGATCCTTTGGTAACCTATAAGCAGCAAGACGATCATCATCTCTAATCAAGGATAATGAATCAGACGGCTCCTCTAGGTAACGAATAATCCGATTGTTGTATATCTACATAGAGTTTTACATTCTCTCAACTCAAATCCCAAATGAACAAATGTGAATGTATAGATATAGTCTGTCATATTTGTCAATGATGCAAAATGACGATGTATAGAAAACCAATCATTACAACATACCTCAGCCACCAATAGGGTCTCGTTGCTCCCTAAGGAACATGCGATGCTTAAAGCCTGGACCAGATCTTTACAATTTCCGGACTTTGGCACGGTTATGGTAAATGGAGATGGTTGTGTACTCCCATCAGTGCTTAAAACTGTTATAGTCATCGTCCGCACTGTTGTCGATGGTAGAGGCAGTGATAGATACATGAATGGATCGAATGTGACAGAAACTTTCTTGCAAACAGGACAAACTAATGTTGATCTATATTGACCCTGAAATAAGTACATCCAACAAGAGAAGCAAATAATGCCTTTAATAGACATAAAGGAGCTTTGAAAACTACAAACAAGAATCACTAAACCTCAAGCCTAGATAATTGAAAGCAAGATCAATCATCTGAACTGATTGAAATGGACAACCATAACACAAGTTTGTACCAGAATTGTCAAGGTGGATGCCTAGAAGATGGTGTATTTCTTGGGGAGTCATCTTTGGCTTTGCCTTATTGTTTCCATACAGGGCTTACCCAGTCTAGGTTCAATGAACTTAAACCGTATCAAATTATATAAAGCAAAATGGGTAAAGGGAAAGCACACAAAGATCAGTTTTAAATTCAGAGAACCATAAATTGAATTTTAGTCCAAAAAATGACAGCAATGAGAAAGTAATGTGTTCACCATGACAAGGATTTTTTTTTTTTGATGAATGACCATGACAAGGATTTAACTGCCTAGTGTTTTAAAAGCGCAAGGAGCATTTTGCACCCAAGGAACATACCTTTTCAAAGCAAGGTGCAAAATTCAAAAAATGCTAAAATTTCAAAAAAATGCCAAAATTTTTCAAAAAAAAATCAAAATTTTAAAAATATTAAGCATAATATTAATTAAAAATATAAACTTAAATTTAAAAACCTATTATCTCAAATTAAGATACACAAACATAACATGTAAAACATTTTTAAAATGAAAAAATAAAAATAAAATCAAACATAACATATAAAACATATTCAAGCATGTAAAATTCACAATCTCTTTATTTATCAAAAAAAATTCACAATCTCTTTATTTTTCCCTAATTGCATTACTTCAAATAGCTAACGTGATGTTAAAGATTATGTATTCCTGATTTTACGAGCCGCCTTTGAGCCAATCTCCTTGAGGCAAGCCCAAACAAGTCCATTTTAGGGTCTTAAATTCTTAATCCCTATGAAAAAGATTTATAATTTTAATTCTTTTAAAAATATTTTTTATTAGGATGAATGAATAACATTAGAAAATAGGTCTCTCCATTTTCCGGTTCACTAGCTGCTAGGCAAAAAAAAAAACAGGAAAATGTGCAAATTTTCAAAAGGTGAGCGCCTTTTGAAAGTTCTGCACTGCGCATACCCTAAAATGCGCCTCAACTGTGCGCCTAGACACACCTTTTAAATCACCGTAGTAGCCTCATGATACTCCTCTAAAAGGATTCAACTAGTAGTGATGGATTTATGTCCAAAATGACAGTTCAGAAGCACTTTATTTGGCCCTATTTAAGTTGTGATATCCTGAAAGATTCTTTTTTGCCTATTTAGTGTTCTTTTATTGAAAAGAAAATAGATAGGCAACAAAGAATCTTTCAAGATAATCACAACTTAAATGGACATGAAGAAAAGTGTGAGGTCGTGCCTCACTCAAATAAAGTTGCCCATGCTCTATTGAGCATAGTTTTCAAAGGCGCCAAAGCAAGGCTAGGCAACAGAGGGGTGCCTTGTCACCTAGTCGCCTAGGTGATGGATTTTTTTTAAGTGAAAAATACATATCCTAGGTAGTTCCCTAGGTTCCATAACCATCTTTCCTTTATAACTATCCATAATTTTCATAAGAAAATTATAAACTTCATGTTTATGTCTAGAAAATCAACATATTTCTGAGAAGAAAAAAGAAGAAAGAAAAGAAAATTCTAAAAATATGGGGACTGAACCCCTATTTTTGTTATAGAAAAAGGAGAAAAAAAAAGGTGGAAGAAGAAGAAGAAATGTGGAGGAAGAAATGTGCTGATTAGACAAAACTTTAAGTTTTTCCCTTACTTATTGGTTCAAATTCTGAAGTCTTTGAGGGTTCAATACAGCAGTTAGCAATGTTTGTGTTTATTAAACCCTAACAAATAAGAAAATAATAAAAAGATATTAATTTATAAACACAAAAAATGAATATTTTTGTTTATTTATAATTATAATTACAAAAAAGTAACAATATAAAAGTATTTTATAAGACAGTATACAAAACAGCTAGGCGACTGGGCGAGGCGAGCCTCCAAGGGCGCCTTGTCGCCTAGGCGTCACCTTGACAACTATGCTATTGAGTACTACAACGGGACTAATAAAATCTCTAGCATTCCCACCTTGTTAACACTGCCCTCAAGCTGGTGCATAAAATCTCTAGCATTCCCACCTTGTTAAGAACACTTTTCAACAATGTTATTATGAATTGATTTAGTAAAAACATCCCAACTTCATCTTCCACCATGTTTCCACCTTTGGCCTTTGAACCACCTAATCATCTTCCCCCTTCATAAAACCCTCAACTTCCTAACTCCCTCCACTATCTCCTCAATTCTGAAACCAGAGCTTTCTCCCTCGTGACCTCCCCCCTTCTTCTCATCTCCAACCTCTAAAACACCTACCTCTCTTTCTGCTCTCAAAACCTCTTCATCCGCCCTTAGGAAAAGTCCCATGTTTCCCTTCAATTATGACTCTCAACTCATAGCATTCCCCAGCAAACTTAAGCTCCAAATTGTTAGGAATAGTTGAGACATCCATCACTTCCACCAAAACTCTTGCCATGTCCAGTTTGTCCCATGTTTTGTTTCTAGTATCAAACTTTAGGATCTACTGCAAAATTTGCCAACTTATTCAAAAAGTCAGAATGCTCCATGCATGAAGTGAAATATTCACCACTCCAAGCCACACAACATGTCTTCTCCTTTCTCCTATAAAACATGAACAGTAACAAACCTCCATTCAACTTTCATACCCCCATCACTCTTTCCTGCCCCCATTCTAGAGCTGCCTAGGCCTCAACTTTCTCCACCTCCATCTCTCTCCCAATGAATCTACCAACCAAGCCCACCTGAAATACCTGCATCCTTTCATCCATCCTCCCAACTCCTCTGACATCAACAACACCACCTTTCCAAACGAGGTCATCCTCCACGTTATGCAACAAAGAAATCTTAAAAGAGTAGTGCTAGAATTCAGGTCAGCCTTAGAGTTCTGCCTGTCTGAGATCAGTTATGTAAAAGAAGAAAGGTGAAAGAGAGAAGAGAGAATTCTGGTTCGAACTGAAAGAGTCAACWTGACTTCTCCCAGTCGGCCARKAAGTATTTATATTATTATTAAAACATAACTGAAAAGACCTATGTGCCCTTACTTAAGAGCACATGTTCCAACACAACATTACAGATCAGCAACATTAATCTAGGTATAAAGACAGAAATACCCCTACGCTAACACTCCCCCTCAAGCT